CTTCATGCTTTCAGGTATGGGAAGCGTGTAGCATTCTACCGGGATGCAGTACTCATGCCTTATCGGCCAAACGCCAAGCACTCATAACAAGAAGCATGACATCACCAACCGCGTGATGGTTCCAACACCATCCGACATGACGAAGGGTTTGACTTCCTCAGGAATGGACTATCAGTTGAGTATATGTAGATTAGGGGATGGGCTAGTAAGAGACTTTGCCCATTCAGAACCTGTCAGGACAGAGAGGGAGCATGCAATGGCTGACTTGCCTTTGACAGTGTAAGTTCCAGGCTTTCCTTATCCTTTTTTTGATCACTGACCTGGAACAAGCAAAGGTGTTTGAAAACCTGCTCTGGGTCAGCGACTCACAAGGATGAGTTTTTTGGGAGAATGGATAGCTAGCACTGCAATCCTGGGATTATCCTATTAGGATTACTTTCCATTGGTACTTCATTGGCGTTTATACAGGGAATCTGGATTCTGACCGGGTGCCTTCTACTTAGCAAAGGACTTCCACAGTTTACTTGGTCTGTAATAAAAATAAATGTATCTGAGATTGAAGCTACACAGATTAATCTCCAAACATGGAAGGGTCTTCTGGGGGTGGGTCTTGGTTTCTTAACAGTAAGAGCTGTGAGAATGAGGAATAGACTCCCTCAAGAGTTGGTTCTGGCCAGCTCAGTGGATCACTGTAGGAAAGTCCCGGATTGTTTCTTGGATACACAGAATATAACTGGATATAACATTTAGAGGTAAAGCTGATCCAGGGAATATCCGATTGCCTCTCTGGGGATCACGAAGGAATTTTTTTCCCAGCAGGAGCAAATTGGATCATGCTTTGCTGGGTTTTTTTTTTTTGCCTTCCTCTGGATCAACTGTCGGTGTAGGATTATAACTTTTTTTTTTTTTTTTTTTTTTAATGGTTGAACTGGATGGACGTTTGTCTTTTTTCAGCCAGACTAACTATGTAACACTGTGAGTTAACAGTCCAGATACAAATGTATTCCAGTGTAAAATCAGGTGGAAGACCACACAAGAAATCCAATTCATTTGGGGGCCGAGTTGCTGCTGGAACCAGCTGTTGATGAACACTGTGCTTAGTCTGTACATTTGTATTTTCAATTCAGGCCATATACATCCTACATCCTATCCTCAAGCCTTAATGAGGAGTGCAAGTTTTTGGCTCCTGAAACATGTTGGCTTTCTTGTGTGGTCTTCCAGCTGATATTACAGTGGAATTAATTTGTATTGTGACTGGGTTATTTACTTGGTGTGGCACTTTAACCTCAGATCTATTTTTTACAAGGATGACAACCTTGGAACTTACACTTTTAAACACAAGTTGGCAGTTTCAACCTGAACAGATCCCGTTAAAGTCCAATGACCACTTTTTTGCAAATTGATACTGTAAGTTGAGGCAACCCTGCCATCAATTTTGTAAAACACTATTTATTGTTGGTTTTCCTACACTACAGAAAGACTTCTAAACAACATGCTGGTACACTTCGAGAGATGAAGAAAGAGGGGTTTTTAGGCAGTTCCTATAGGGAAGCATAGGCATGGCATTCTATGTGTCTACATTCTCTTTTCGACTTGGAACAATGGGTCATTGAAGACCATGTTCAACCAAAAGGAGATATTAGAGAAACAGGGGCGGACTGACCATTTGGAAACTCGGGCACTGCCCGAGGGCCTGGGGTCAGTAGGGGGCCCCATGAGATGCCCCTGGTACATTTTTCATAGGCTTTTTTGAGTTTGGGCAAGGACACAGGGGCCCCATGATCCCCTATTGCCCGGGGGCCCCATAAGTTGTCAGTCCGCCCCTGTAGAGAAAATTAGTTCTACTTACAAATTGGTTATATTCCTAGCCTGACTTGGGAGATTCTACTACTTGGGAGATTTCTCAATAATGTCCCAAGGGGATTGCAGCCTGAGGCTCGCTTCATGCGTCCTGGAGATCCAAAATAGTTCCTTACTGGGTTAAAGGTGAACTGTTGACATAGGCAAGTCCAGTCCGGTTTCTGTAAATGAAACCCTTCTTGACCCAAATACATTTTTTAAACTGTTAGTTGTTGACTGCCATTTACTGTTTTAAATCATTGACCCCAAGCATCCTTGTAGGAGTTCTGACTTTACTCACTGACCCCAAGCATCCTTGTAGGAGTTCTGACTTTACTCACTGACCCCAAGCATCCTTGTAGGAGTTCTGACTTTACTCACTGACCCCAAACATCCTTGTAGGAGTTCTGACTTTACTCACTGACCCCCTACTTGTTCTGGGTTGGTGACACAATCAGTACTGAAGCTGTAGTTAGAACATGAGAGCAAGGTTATTTTCAGGATGGCAATGGCATGTTTTTCCAATATTCCTCTAAGGCTACTTGAATTAGAATATTCTACCATTTTCCCCTAAATGCTTTACTGTCAGACTTTGTATGACTTTTTGCAGTGCGTCTAGGTGGAGAGCCATCAATCTGAGTAGTCTTCTACTGTATGAGCTACACGTCTCTGCACACAATGCAGGAAAGAAACTGCAATGGGGCCCTGACCCCAGCCACTAATAGGGGGTACAGGCAGTACTCCCAAAGCGGGCACAGGCCCCCTTGGGGCAGCAGGAGGGTGCAGGTTCAACTTGGAAGCAGGATGAGTCCCAGTGTAAATGAAGTTTAGGAATGGCAGTCCTCTTCCCACCCTATTGATTATAGGCAAGAAGAAGCTGGATCAGGAGCTCTGAGGGCTACTAAGAGAGGAGGGACAGCTTGGGATTTGATGAGGGATTCACACCTCAGCATCTCCCTTCTCTGTATGGATTTTGCAGGAGAGCCTGGGTTCCACTTTGAATCAGGATGAGTCCCAATGTAAATAAGGTCAAAGAATGGCAGTTCCCTTCCCACTAAGAGTGGCAGTCCTCTTCCCACTAAAAGTGGCAGTCCTCTTCCCACTAAGGGCCAGTTCACACTACATACATTTCAGTTGCGGTTTTTCTGCATCCAAAACACACAGAAAGTACGTTACATGGTTGTCAATGTCATAGTTCACATCAGTGCTTGCAGGTCCAGTGCATTCCAGATGCAGAAAAAAAAAGTAGAACAGGCTGTATTTTTTCTGCACAGAACTGTACTAGAAAGCAGTAAAATGCATAAAAACGCACATGTCGCTATTTTAATTGAAGAAAAAGTGAGGGGACAAAATGAACTGGTATGCATCAAAAACGCACCAGAATACACATGCAAACATGCATCCGGAACGCATCTGGACTGCGTTTCTATAGTGTGAACCGGCCCTAAGGCTAGGGTTCACATATGTGCGGGTGATGTGGCTGAGGATCCGCACGAAAATCCGTGCAACCCGTACAGAGGAATGCGGACCCACGGGCGGGTGCCATTACTTCTAATGGCACACCGCCTGCACTGGAAATCGCAACCGTACTGGGAACCGAGGTTCCCGTGCAGGCTGCGTTTTCAGAAGAAGTGCAGGGACTTCTTCCCTGTGTGTCCCAGGGCACGGGAGTCCATTCAAATGAATGGGCTCTCATGCCCGCGCAAAATGCGGCCCGCACGGCCGCATATATGTGTACCAGGGCTAAAAGTGGCAGTCCTCTTCCCACCCTACTGAAGACAGGCATGAAGAAGCTGGATCAGGAGCACTGAGAGACACTGAGAAAGAATGAGGAGGGACAGCTTTGGATGTGAGAGGGATTCACACCCAGGGGCGGACTGACCATTTGGAAACTCGGGCACTGCCCGAGGGCCCGGGGTCAGTAGGGGGCCCCATGAGATGCCCCTGGTACCTTTTTCATAGGCTTTTTTGAGTTTGGGCAAGGACACAGGGGCCCCATGATCCCCTATTGCCCAGGGGCCCCATGAGTTGTCAGTCCGCCCCTGTTCACACCTAAGCATTTCCCTTCTCTGTATGGATTTTGCTGGTAACAGTGCAGAAAGGTAAGTTCAATCAATAGCTTGACACTTGATCCTCGTGAGCCCATAGCTACGGAGAGGGGATGATTTCTAATAGCAGTCCTGCCTTATCCAGAACACTTTTTCTTTGACATAGTAGGGAATACAAAAAAAAAAGAACATTACTACGGAGCTAGTAACATCTAAAGATGACAGATTCACTTTCCTTTTGTGTTCAATTGGAGTGTATCTTTA